ACGAGCAGTTGGACAGGTGTACCTAATAAAGTGGCCGGTGAGTGTATATATAAATAATATGGTGTTGGTATATATATATATATAATTTGTCTGCACCATCAACACCAAGCCAAATTACTTTTAAGTGCAAACCTACTGGCAATAAACTTGCCATAAACTGAATCTGATTCTGTTACTTCTCATTATGTCAGATGAAATCTAACACAGCTTGTTATGATAATTGGATCAACCAAAATATTTTTATAAGTGCTCTTTTTCTGCTGTGGGGAGAGATTATTATTGTAGGCAGCTGAGATAGAGGAATACGTGATGCTGATTGGCTAAGGAGCCATAATGTAGGCGGGTGTTCCGCAGCTTGGAACAGAGAAAAAAGCTGTGTCTGAATGTCCGCTCTAACCCCTAAATCCCTCCATCACTATATGGAGTGGGGACTATATAGTGGACTTTATAGTGAACTCAGTTATCTGACCGTTCAAACACTACTTTTTTCTCCTAGTTGGTCACGTGACTCCGCCTCCCCATGCAGTGCTTGTGCCATCTTTGTTATCTTTTGGTCGCCACCACAACAAATCCCATGATGCTTTGAGGAGAGCACTCACAAAGCAATCTGGGCTTTATCTGCTCGTCTAGTGACCATGGATGATCACTACTTTTCAAGGTGCATTGTGGGAGTCCATTACTCTTTCATCCACTGGACGTTTGGACACTCATCTAAAATGGCGTAACCACTACTGTGCCTGTGGAGTTAGGAAGCTCAGGCGGAGGCATTTCTTGCAAGAAATAAGGTTCAAATTTATTTAATGTCCTCGGACGGTGAGATAGGGCTCTCTGTCTGAGGCATTTCAATACATACATTTATACCTTACAAAATCACACACAGACACACTCCCCTCAGGGGAACCAAACCCACCTGCTGCATAAAGAACTTTCTCACACTTGAACATTTGGTTATTCCCAAGAAAAAAACAATTCAATTAATCAAGGACATACATTTTAGCCAGATAAACACTCAGAACAGGTCTCCTGTTCACGGCATGAAGTAGGCTGTGTGAACTCATTCTTACCTCTTATGACCCTCCCTTCACCCTTGACTAGAATAGGGAGGAAACTGCTTTCTGTCATCCCCAATCTTAACTCCCTATATAAATTAACTCAAGTAAACAGACTTAAAAGACTTCTAAACAATCACCCCTATTTAGGCAGAGAAAAGGCACACTCAAAATATTTTATCTCACAAAGTAAAAATATCCCTCCACATGCCCTATATAGTTGTTAGGCCAGACATTTGGACACAGCCTAAGAGGAGAGACGATGGGGCGGAGCTGATGACAGCATTCTTACATTAAAGCGCATCCTGGAATCAAAGGCTAAATGTTCCTGTAAATGTTGGTTAGAAGC